GGGATAGGGTTAAACCAATAGGGCTTTCTTTTTACGTTTTCCACAGTCACATTCCTGCTGTTGCTATTTGTCTTTAGATGATTAAATTCAATTAGGCTCACAGTGTGTATGTATCTGTTCATTTTTCCCTCTGTGGAGGTAATAGTAAGTTTAAATGTTGATTCAGCTGTGGAAATGTTTTATTGTGGGAGGCATTAACTATTTCCAAAATACTTATTTTCCCAAATATAATAAGTATTTTGTTGATCACATTTGAACTTGAAATACAGTGAGAGGTTATCTAAGACCACATGGTAACTTAGAGAGTGAGCAGCCAGCCAGGCATGGTATCATGGCGTCCTGTGCTTGTAGTCCCAGCTAAGGCTGAGGCAGGAGCATTACTTGAGCCCAGGAGTTTGAGAGAGAGTTTAAAGAAACAGAGTTTCACTGTGTTACACTTGAGCCCATTGTAACACAATGAAACTCTGTCTCTTTGACAACAACAACAACAACAACAACAACAACAACAACAACAAAAATCGGCGAAGGAGGCAGTTGGGAAAGGGTTCAGGAGGCAGAGAAAAGCCACTGGGCATGTGAATGGAAAGAGGTCAGTAAAAGCAGAGATTGAGAACATCAATGAAGGAATTGTAAAGCAAAGTGGCCCATAAAACCACCCACACATGCCGTAATGTTAGGATATCACTTGTGTATTCTCTTATCTCAGCCCAAGTAGAATGTTTTCTTTCACAAAGCGGTGGCTTAATTTTGTGAGTCAAGAAGACTCCGGAGGAAGCTGGCTTGGAAAACTGGACATAAGATGGAGAGAGTTGGTTAGGAAGAATTTGAAGTGGTGAAACAGTACAGAATGACAAAGGGCTCAAACAAGGACAGTCTCATGAAGTAGATGAGATAACTAGGGAAATGACTGTGATTCGAAGATCTGTCATACCATCATTATGGTATGTTGTCTTACCCAGATGCCTGTGATCTTAGCTCATTATAAGTGATGTTTATGGTGTAGCATTCTAATTGATGCTTGTCTTGAAGCCTTGCAAAGTCTCAAACTTCCTTCCAAATCATTATCAAAAGATTGAATTGTTAGGTTTTAGGTTTTATGTAAAATACAGTGTTAATACATACAGATTTTATTGTAAGTTGCAGTTTATGGCCATCTCTTGTAGCATTCCCCGCTTGTATAACAGGGACTGCTTTCTGGCACCAGGTGCGTCTGATTAGGTTATCCAAGAGAACATAGTGTAAATACTTCTACCACCCCCACTTTATAAACGAGGAGTCTTGAGTTTTTAAAGGGTGAGTAACTTGCTTGTGGTCCACAGCTAGTAGGTGGCAAAGCCAGGCCACAAAACCAGCCAAGCTGACTTTGAGCCTGAGCTTTTAATCACCATTCTCTATTGCCCTGGTGATCCACTTTCTCCAAAGAAAAGATGTGTATGCTGTTAGAGGTATAGCAAGAACTCTGTGCTCCTCTGGGCCCAACTCCTACTCATTAACCTAAAAAGCTTACCATTTGGGGCATGAAACTCTGGTAGAAATGCGGTGTAAAAAGCTCATTTCTTTTGAGCTTCAAGTTACATGCTCTCATTATTTCCTACAAGGGTGAATGGCTTGCAGGCATAGCCTTTCCCATCCCAGCGCCCTAGGTGCTTGTACATTCATCCCTAGGGTCATGGATTTTGACTAGTCCCTTTTGAAATGGTTTAGGGTTGATGATCATGTTGTCCTGAGGTGTTATCCAAGCTGGTTGTCTCAGGACCAAGAAAATTAAAGATTAATGTGAGGCTGGGCATGGTGGCTCACACCTGTAATCCCAGCACTTTGGGAGGCCAAGGCGGGTGGATCACCTGAGGTCAGGAGTTTGAGACTAGCCTGGCTAACATGGTGAAACCCCGTTTCTACTACAAATACAAAAATTAGCCAGGCATGGTAGCGTGCGCCTGTAATCCAAGCTACATGGGAGGTTGAGGCAGGAGAATCGCTTGAACCTGGGAGGTGGAGGTTGCAGTGAGCCAAGATCATGCCATTGCACTCTAGCTTGGGCAAGAAGAGTGACACTCTGTTTCAAAAAAAAAAAAAAGATTAATGTGAACACAGGGGTGAAATTGGAGTTAATGAAGAAAGCTCTCTGCAGCAGAAAGGAGGACTTGAGTGGGTTGCTGTATGGGAAACTCCCCTGATCTCTGTAGTTGTTTGCATAACTTCCCTTATCTGTGAAGCTGTCTGTGTAACTCTACTTATCTGTGCAGCCTTGGGCATGTCTTGGGTAAACACAAAGTGCAGCTTCTCATTTGTATAACTATTTTACAAACGAGGTTTGTTTTAGGTAAGCCTCCCCTCTGCTCACTGTGCAAGTTCTCACCAAGCCCACTGCATATATGCCTGAGAAGGGGAGGAACCTTTTCCCTGGGAGCCTGCTCATCACTGAAAGAACAAAAGGCTTCTCTGTTGGGTCCCTCTTTCTTATCAGTGCAGGTTCAGTTTGGTTTTTCCCCAGGCAGCTCTATTTGTACCTGTAGCTGTGATTTTTCAGGCTTTCCTTGAGGACTAGCCTTAGCTGTCTGCCTAACTGATTTTTCCTTTTCTTCTCCCTCACATTCTTGGGCCCAACTTTCTGTTTTTCATGTTCTTCTCACTTCACTTACTAGTTCTTGACTTCTTCTCTTGCTGTTAGCTGATTCCAGAAATCTTTTTGTCTAAAGAGTCATGATTATAATACTTCAGATGAACTGTGGCTTTTCTGTGTAATAATTGGGCATCTCCCAAGCCATTGATGACTGTCATTAAAAATAGCACCAGAATGATTCTGATGAAAGCTTTGTTCACACACCAAACTGTTCCTGTACGTCCTGTGGTCAAGGAGCCTAGGAAGAATAGTCATCTTTCAGCTTGGAAGGTCGACCAGCAGAAGGCCTGGATGAATGTGGCTCAGTACAGGACACCAACTGGGCATCCCACAGTTTAATTCAATTCTGACACTAACTACCTAGAGTTAGCACAGACCCTACAGGGTAAGGGCTCGGTTCCATAAGACTTTTCCCATTTCAGATGCCAGTTGCAAATTTAGGCCTTCCATGCTTCTGACTGACCAGCTATAAATCAGGGGTTCACAGAACCCCCTCTTTAGGTTCATAAATTGGCTAGAATGGCTCACAGAACTCAGGAAAACTCTTTACTGGCGATTATCAATTTATTATAAAGGATGCAAATGAACAGCCAGATGAAGAGGTACACAGGGTGCTGTCCAGAAGGGTCCCAAACGCAAGAGCATCGTTCCCATGGATTTGGAGTGTACCAACCTCCTGGCACACAGATGTGTTCACCAGACTGGAAGCTCTGAAGCCCGTTGATTAGGGTTTTTATGGAGGCACTATTATGTACATGGGGCTGATTAAATCATGGACCATTGGTAATTAGCTCAGTCTCTAGTCTCCGCCCAGGTGTGTGCTCCTGAAAGTTCTGACCCTCTAAACCACATAGTTGGTTCCACTGATAGGCAGCCCCCTATCCTGAAGCTATCTAGAGGCCCAGGAACAGTTGCCTCCATACAAACTCTGGTATGATTGAAAAGGGCGTTAGTAGCGAAATACTCTCCTGTTAATCTCTGTTGCTCAGGAAATTTCAGAAGTTTTAGAAGCTCTTATACCAGACCAAATTTCATATATATATAAAGTAATGGCAAAAACCACAATTACTTTTGCACCAACCTAATGTGATGTTTTTCTTTTTTCATGGTCATGTTTTTCTTTTTTCATGGTCGTGTTTTTCTTAGAGCTAGCCTCCCACGTAGCTGGGACTGCAGGTTTGTGCCACCATGCCTGGCTAATGAAAGAAAAAATGTTTCTTAAGAGATGATATCTTGCCGTGTTGCCCAGGTTGATCTCAAACTCCTGGCCTCTAGCGATCTCACCTTGACCTCCCAAGCTTTAACCCCAAAGCTGGGATTAAAGATGTGAACCACTGCACTGAGTCTTGTTTAAAAAAAAAATTATATATGTGTGTGTGGGGGTGTGTGTGTGTGTGTATGTATATGTAAAGTATACATTAGATACATTATATATATATATGTGTGTATATGTATATGTTTATATATATATTTAGAGACAGATTCTTGGTGTGTTGCCCAGGCTAAACTTGAACTCTAGTCTTAAGCGATCCTCCGCCCCCTCCCCCCACCCCCGAGTAGCAGGGACTCCGGGTGTGTATCACAGTGCCGGCCATATTTCTTAATCTATGGCAGTATTGTGCTCTGAGTGCTGTCTTGTGTTCCTTTTCTAGCTGGCCTGCTGCTGTGGGTCTGCAGGCTGCTCTCTCTGCTGTGATTGCTGCCCCAGGATTCGGCAGTCCCTGAGCACCCGCTTCATGTACGCCCTCTACTTCATTCTGGTCGTTGGCCTCTGCTGCATCATGATGTCAACAACTGTAGCTCACAAGATGAAAGAGCACGTAAGTTTGTCGGTGTCAGCTCATCCTATTTCCGATGTTCGATGAGGGTGTGTGGGAGACACATGATTTAGAGGATGGGGCCCATGTGCCCCCATGTGTTTTGGGGTATACCTGGTCTCCTTGAACCTTCCTGAAGACTGTTCTGTGCTTTCCAAGATCCAATGCCTTCTGGCTAAACAGGCAAACCAATCAACAGCTTGATCCTTAGTAGTAGTGTAGATGCTATCTGATGCTTTTGGTGTAGAACTTCTTTTTTTTTGAGTCAGAGTTTTGCTCTATTGCCCAGGCTGGAGTGCTGTGGCGTGATTTCGGCTCACTGCAGCCTCTGCGTCCTGGGAGCAAGTGATTCTCCTGACTTAGCCTTCCGAGTAGCTGGGATTACAGGTGCACACCACCATGCCTGGCTAATTTTTTGTATTTTTAGTAGAGACAGGGTTTCGCCATGTTGTTGGTCAGGCTGGTCTCGAACTCCTGACCTCATGATCTGCATGCCTCGGCCTCCCAAACTGCTGGGATTACAGGTGTGAGCCACCACACTTGGTGAGAATTTTTTTTTTTTTAAATTTTTAAATTTTAAAACATTTGTGTAGATTCATGGGGTCCAAGTGCAGTTTTGCTACATTGGTAAATTGCCTGTGCTGAAGTCAGGGCCTTCAGTGCTTCCATCCCTGGAGCAACACATGTTGTACCCACCAGGCAGCCTCTCATCATCCACCTCCTTCCCAGCCCCATGGCCCCTGAGTCTCCATTGTCCATCATTGGACACATCATTGTCCATCACAATTGTCTGTTTATATCAGATGATTGTGTATTTTATCTTAGCCTTGTTTATAGCTGTTCCTGGTGAAATATACCATCTTTTCTTGTACATTTCTGTGTTTTTTACTGAACCCCCACATGACTCAGTCTTACCCAGCAGGGCCGCATCAGTGCCTGGGAAGGGCAGGCTTCTTTGCTCAGGCACAGTTTGCCAGGAAGAGAGAGCAGCAGGCGTGTTCCCTGGGGGCAGCTTTTATCCTAGAGACAGAGGGAAAGGAAAGCCTTGCTGTCCAAATGCCATTTCCCCTTACAAACTGACCACTCCTCACTGCATCTTCCCAGCCAAACAAGTGAGGAGGTGGACGGAAACCTGGAGCAGGCTCTGATGGAGCTGCCCACAGCGGGGATGACATTGCCCAGGGCAATACCTGAGCAGGATCAATCGATCCTCCTGCCTCAGCCTTCTGAGAAGTTGGGACTACAGGCGTGAGCCACCATGCTGGCTAATTTTTCTATCAGAAAGAGTAGGCTTCTATTCTTATTCTGAGGGTCCACTTAATCTCTCATGTACTACTTTTGTTTTTTTAAGTAATACAGTATTCTGTTTGTAAATTCAACAAGCTTGAGTTTCTCAATTGATTAAAGTGGCTTGATGATCCTCTGTGGTCCATGGTGGGAACTCTAGTGTGCACGGGATGTAGTGTGATTCCTGCTCTTCATAAGTTTCTATTCTTAACAGAATTAAGCCTGCATCCAAAAAACCAAAACCTGTTACTATACAACTAGATAGTATCCCTAAGTCGTGAATTTATTGAGACATTGGAGGGAGAAATAATTTGGGAGCCATTGGTATGGGTTTTATGACATAAATTTCATAATGGTAATATTAACACCTGATTACCATCCAAGTAACCTGCCCCATGAAACAGTGTCTAGCAATTCCAGTCAGTATTTATGCTTTCCGACTGTTACAGAACATTTGAGAATCAGAATATGTTGACTGGTATTGCTAGGAAAGGCTTCATGAAATAAGTGACTTGTATGAGTAATAATAAGTATTTTAATAGCTAATGATTGAGTGAGACCATGTGTCAGGTTTTATTCTGAGCACTGTATCTGTATTTTCTCCCTTCATCAGCCCTGTACTCACCTGAACAGTAGGTGCTATCATTACCCCTGCCCTACAGATGGGGAAACTGAAACATTGGTTTAAGCACCTCACCCAAGACCTGGGATTTGAACCTGGTCTGAATGTGTTCTTAACTACGAGGCTGTGTAACTAGAGAGGAGGAGAGGCACGTGGAGAAGGACTGAGAGGAGAGGGGAGGTGAAATGGCCACATCTTGCAGGAACTGGAGTGGCAAGGTGAAGTGTTTGAATGAACATGGTCTGTGGTGAGTGGGAAGCCATTATAGATTCCAGAGCAAGAGGCTATCATCCTGGAAACAGGGAGATATTTTGGGAGGTGAACCTAGAGGTGGTGACGGCAGTGCGCACAGGGTGACTTACAGTCAGAGAACAGAGAGAGGGAGGAGGAGAGGGAAGGGCAACCCTGATGCCCCTCCTAGAGGCTCTTGTAAGTGTTTCTATGCCTGTCGCCTGAATGTACCTATTTACAAGTGGTTTGGCTGAGTGTCCTGCATAGGGAATGAGATCCCCGTGGGTGAAACCAATCCTTTTGCAACTTTAGGGCCTCACAGGGGGATGGCCATCTGGCTACAAAGTCGGCTTGTTTCGTGGCCTACAGAAGAGAGGCTGACCTCATCCTCAGGCGGTGCTTGCGAGTGGGTTTTGAAAGGTCCCCTTGTGGGGACGCACACTGGGCTCCTGCTGGAGTCCTCACCCCCTCTTTGTTGGCCGGGGAAGTGCCTGAGACTGTGACTGGAAGAGGAGAAAGAGCTGCATGCTTGTAATGGCCCAGATGGGAGTGTGTAAGTGCCTCCCACCCAGCGTTCTGCCAGAGTCGTGTGGGCCTTTGGTATGTGGGTTAAGAGTGCAAGGCCAGCTCCCTTGTCAGTTACTCCAGTTTTTGCCTTGGTTTCAGAATGTGGCCTGTGTTTAGTCTGAGTAAGAGGGGACTGCAAGGGATGCTGGGCCAGACTTTGTCCTGCTTCTTTTCTTTAGGGAAACTCCTCTTTCCCAGGAGAACTTTGGCTCAGAGAAAGCTTGACTGCTGGTTGAATAAGGCATGATTCTGTCTTCTCTTGGAGCATTTCCCCATCTCAAAACATGAGGGTTATTTGTTTTGCAGGTCATTCTTGTCATTAACCATGTAATTTAAGCAGGTACAGACTCATGAGATTTGATCCCTGGGGGATCGAAAATCCATTTTAGAATGTAGAATTCAAAGGGTAAAAAAGTGGGCAAGAAAGTAAAGCTTTCCAATCCAAACTGCTAAGTCAAGGTGTAACTTCTGTGTTTGAGGCAGATTCAGATTTGGGCACCCTGGGCAGCCACGTGGGTGTTTGGGGAGGGAGGAGAAAGGAAAGTCTGGGGAGTACGGGCCACTAACACCTGTACTGGAGAAGGAATAATGGGTGACCTATGCAGCCCCAGCCTTTCTCCCCTGAGAGCCCATGTGCCGGGCCAGTGTAGGAAGAGCCTTAGATATTCCCAGCCTCAAACATGTTAGATCTGTTTTCTTCATTCTATGTTACACTCTCCACTCCCTCCCCATCTTTGCCCCAAGCTCCCCAGCCCTAGGCAGCCACTAATCTATTTAGTCTCTGTGGATTTGCCTATCTAGACATTTCGTATAAATAGAATCATACACTATATGGCCCTTTGTGCCTGGCTTCTTCTTCTTCTTCTTTTTTTTTTCTTGAGCTGGAGTCTCACTCTGTCTCCAAGGCTGGAGTGCAGTGGCATGATCTCAGCTCACTGCAACCTCCACCTCCTGGGTTTGAGCAGTTATCCTGCCTCCGCCTCCTGAATAGCTGGGATTACATTACAGGTGCCTGCTACCACGCCTGGCTAATTTTTGTAATTTTAGTAGAGATGGAGTTTCACCATGTTGGCCAGACTGGTCTCGAACGCCAAGCTCAGGTGATTTGCCCACTTGGGCCTCCCAAAGTGCTGGGATTATAGGTGTGAGCCACCTCACCTGGCCCATTTAATATGTTTTCAAGGTTCACACTCAGGTTGTAGCATATGTACTTCATTCCTTTAAATGGCTGAATAATATTCCATTGTATGAGTATAACATACTTTATTTTTATTTTTATTTTTTGAGATGGAGTTTCACTCTGTCACCTAGGCTGGAGTGCAATGGCGTGATCTTGGTTCACAGCAGCCTCCACTTCCCAGGTTCAAGTGATTCTCCTGCCTTGGCCTCCTGAGTAGCTGATATTACAGGAACACACCACCATGCCCAGTTAATGTTTTGTATTTTTGGTAGAGACAGGGTTTCACCATGTTGGCTAGACTGGTCTTGAACTCCTGACCTCAAGTGATCCGCCTGCCTTGGCCTCCAAAAGTGCTGGGATTATAAATATACATATAACATATTTTATTTATCCATTTGTCAGTTGATGGACATTTGGATTGTTTATACCTTATTGGCTATTATAAATTATGCTGCTATGAACATTCATGTACTAATTTTTGCATGGATGTATGTTTTCATTTCCTTTGGGTTTATACCTAGGAGCGGAATTGCTGGATTGTGGGGTAACTGTTTAAGCTTTTGAGGAACCACCATATTGTTTTCCAAAGTGACTACATCATTTTCCCACCAGTAACGTGGGACATTCAGGATGAAGTCATGTATGAAGGTACGCATTTCTTCACACCCTCACTAACACTTAATGGTACATCTTTTTTATTTTAGTCACTATAGTGTGTGTGAGGTGGTTATCTCCTCTCTGCCTGTGCCTCTAACACTGCCCTCTGCCCTTCCTATTTGCTTGCTTTCCCCCGGGCAACTTGTTCATAGTTCTGGCTTTGATTATCGCCATATGTGCATCTGCTTGTAAAGACGCCCTTCACACAGGACAGTGCTGAGGACACCGATAGATTCTTTCTCCCAGCATCCCTCCTTTTCTAGATTGTGTGCTGACTACATACTTTTCCCAAGGCAGGTCATAAAAGTCTTAGGCTTCCATTCTGCATTCCAGTCAGTCACTATGATTCAGCCACGCCCCCCTCCCTGGTGTTGTATATTCCATTTGCCTTGTTTGAACTTGGGTAGCTCCCAAATGTCCCCAACTGCCCTCAGGCTTCTTTCTCCAGATAACTTAGCCTGTTAGTTAGGCTGAGCTGAAGGTGCTGTTTGCTACATTTCTCCGAGATGATACTCTATTTCTAAATTCTGGAGTCACAGCAGTGCAGTAACTGTAGGTAAATACGGTGGCTACTTTCCTTAAAAGCAACTTGGATCTCAAAAGGCTGTTCATAAGTACATCTTTTAGTCAGTTCACAGTGACATGTTAAAATACTTCAGTGGTTCTTGGAGTTGACAGAGTCCTTTGATCCATTATGTTTGAAGCTCTGAAATTGGAGAGTTGAGCTACTTTATTTCCTATTTTTAACTTGAAGAATTAAAATAAAGATGAAGCCATAATAGTAAACATTGCTTGTGGGAAGCCCTCCTTGTGCTAGTTCCAGGGATCTAAAAATGCCTGAAACAAGGCCCCTTAGTTAAAGGATTGAGTTTAAGAGATGAGTGGAAGAAGGCCGCAGCTCACACATACAGTAAGTGTTCTGCCTTCAGAAGAGACAGCAAATACCTGCGGTGTTGTGTGTCCTACAGAGAAAACAATGATCTTTTAAGGATATAATTTGTTTTTTAAATTTGTATAAATTTATGGGGGGTACAAGTATAATTTTGTTACATGGATATATTGAGTAGGATATAATTTGAATACATTGTTAGAACTTTTAAAAGCAGAAAAGTAATCCCAGCACTTTGGGAGGCTGAGGTAGGCATATCATGAGGTCAGGAGTTTGAGACCAGCCTGGTCAACATAGTGAAACCCTGTTTCTACTAAAAATACAAAAATTAGCTGGGCATGGTGGCATGCACTGTAGTCCCAGCTACTCAAGAGGCTGAGACGGGAGAATCGCTTGAACCTGGGAGGCGGAGGTTGCAGTGAGTTGAGACCACACCATTGCACTCCAGCCTGGGTGACGGAGTAAGACTCCATCTCAAAAAAGAAAAAGCATACATGAGGCCAACAAACATGAAAAAATGCTCATCATCTCTGGTCATTAGAGAAATGCAAATCAAAACTGCATTGAGATACCATCTCACGCCAGTTAGAATGGCGATCATTAAAAAATCTGGAGACAGCAGATGCTGGAGAGGATGTGGAGAAATAGGAACACTTTTACACTTTTGGTGGGAGTGTAAATTAGTTCAACCATTGTGGAAGACAGTGTGGTGATTCCTCAAGGACCTAGAAATAGAAATTCCATTTGACCCAGCAATCTCATTACTGGGTATATATCCAAAGGATTATAAATCGTTCTACTATAAGGACACATGCACATGAATGTTCATTGCAACGCAGTTTACAATAGCAAAGACCTGGAACCAACCCAAATGCCCATCGATGATAGACTGGACAGGGAAAATGAGGCACATATACACCGTGGAATAGTATGCAGCCATCAAAAACGACGAGTTCGTGTCCTTTGTAGGGAGATGGATGAACCTGGAAACTATCATTCTCAGCAAACTGACAGAAGAGCAGAAAATCAAACACCACATGTTCTCACTCATAGGCGGGTGTTGAACAATGAGAACACATGGACACAGGGAGGGGAGCACTACACACTGGGGTCAGTTGGGGGGAAATAGGGAAGGGATAGCGGAGGGTGGGGAGTTGGGGAGAGATAGCAAGGGGAGAAATGCCAGATATAGGTGATGGGGAGGAAGGCAGCAAATCACACTGCCACGTGTGTACCTATGCAACAATCTTGCATGTTCTTCACATGTACCCCAAAACCTAAAATGCAATTAAAAAAAAAAGAATGCCTGCAGGAAAGGAAAAAAGAAAAAGCAGAAAAGTCCTAAGTGGTCATCTTAACCAACCTGTCATATGACTGGCGAGAAGCTGTGTCCCAGGAAGTGAAATGGCTTGTCAGAATTGAGACACCAGGCATATATGGAATTAGAGCCCAGGGCTACTGGTCGCCTGGCTAATGTGTCTTCTATTTGTGCAACTAAGTGTGCTTGTTGGTCATATATTCACAGAATTCACAGTAAATGCCTTTTATCAAAAATATCCTTCTTCCCCTTCCTAGACTTTTCTTCTGGGCCCAGGGGTAAGAAGTATTCCTTTTGGAAATAGAGGTATTGATCGACTTACGACCTGTGCAACTTACGACCATTCAACTTTACGACCACAATTGCTAGCCACGACTGCTCCACGTCTGGCAGCACAAACGTTGCCCAGCTGGGCGTACGACAGTGCGGACCAGCTTCTGGCAGCACTACTATCTCCGCGTGCATATAGCCTACTCAACTTACGACCAAATTGTGTTACGACCGGTCTGTCAGAACCAATTGTGGCCGTAAGTCGAGCACTAGCTGTAGCACTGCCTGGGGCTCTCAGCAGCAATCTTAGCTTACTTTCATTCCCCATCTGCCTCCCTCCTGTTGTGATGACCAAAATCTGAGCTCAAGGGATGACTGTTGGTCTGAAGTAGAAAACAGAAGTAGCCACAAAACTAGTATTTATTTATTCAGTGGCTTTGCATGTCAAATAGAACTTGTTTTCAGGTGGTGTTTGGTATAACCATCTTTTTAAAACAAACGTCATCAATGAAAAATATTCCACTTTGATCCAAAATACCGTGCCATTTGTCCCAGTGTAAAATGACAGGTCTTCATGCTGAAGCTGGAGACTTTGGCTCTTGGTTTTCATTTGGTATTTACTGGTTGAATGTGCAGAGCGCACTGTACCTGCAGCCTGTATCAGGGGCTGGCACAGGCACCTGGAGGCCCCAGGTAGAACTCTCCATTCTCAGCTTGTG